GAAAAGACTCTATGACCTGAAAATAGAGACAATACAGTACTTTTGTAACCCAGGAAAATCTTTAATAAAGCTTAAATAAATAAATACAAAGAATAAAGATTAATTTGAGACACAGGAGCCTTTGCATTTAACTCAAAACATCTGTAGGCAGGATAATGTATTGAAAGCCACAGAGAGGTCAGTGACACGCTCCTTCCATTGGCTTGAATAAGCTTCTTCCTTTACATAACTGTAATTATCATAGGTTTGCAGTCATCATGAGAAGATAAAAGCTGTTTCCATGCATTTGTCCGAACACACAAAGGGTTAAAATAGAGATGAGGCAGGGGTGCACATACAAGGTCTGTAAAGTATAATTAATTAATTGACACTGGAATAAGAATGGCTCTATGTATTGCCGAAAGGTTTAACATTGGAAAATTCCATTGGAGTATAGCCAGCAAGAAGAGCTCTCTAAGCTGCCTAAATGGGTTGATAATTTGGTATTGTTATTGTTCTCTGGTAGCTCTGTTGTGGTGGTTTTAACCTTAGATCATATGAGAGGTATTGAGTTGTAAATTGGAAGGGTGGTGGCTGAATCTTTGATCTCAGGTTCTGTGGAAGTAAGGGTGTATAAATAACCCCTCCAGTGCGTGAATACAGCTCCAGGAAAAATGGAGACTGTAAGGAGAGACAGACCTCTGATTTTAGATCTGTTTGAAGTATTTCATATTTTATTTCTAAGATGCTGAGCCTGTGCTGGACTTGCACAATATATTCTATGGAAATATTTGGATGCATCTTTGATGTTTTTGTTGTTTTGAAGCAAGTTCTGCAAGTAAAGCTTTAATTAAACTCATGAACCTTGACAATGTTTTATTTTCAAAAGGAGTGAGTTTTTATGCACCCTGTCACTTCAAACTGTTCAATATTAATATTTTAAATAAAGCCACCACCCAGAGTACCCTGACTGCTCTTTGGCCCATCAATACTTTATATTGATCTGATATATGCTCAGCTTGTTAATTCCCCCAGGTTTGAAAGCTCTTCACACTGTTCTGCAGCTGTCCCATATGTTGCTTGCAAGAATCTGAAATTGCCAGATGCACAGAATATTCAAATAAAGAATTACCCCACTGGAGGGATCATGAACAGTTTTCTTTGACTTTTCCGTGGATCTGTAAGCAGGGGCAGTCTCCTTCCATCTCCTCCATTTCTTTCCATGCCTCTCCCCACCAATGGTAAGTTTTTTGTACTTTCAGTTTCCAACTGCTTAAGAGCAGACATGGTTCCATGCTGTCTGAGACCCAATATTTCCTGAGATGTGGAACTATATTCACTTAGGAATATCCTCATCCAGAGATCCATAATGAATGCACGAGAAAGCACAAAAATCCATGGAATGGACAAAAAGATGCACAATTTCAGGGCTGGGATGTGGGCTGTGTCCACTCTCCACATATTGGCTATCAATGGGAATGACTAAACTCTGAATACAGCTGATAACACATTCACATCACACTGAAAGTATATGACGCTTCAATGTTTATACCTTATTCACAGATTTTGTGTGTGTGTGTGTGTGTGTGTGTGTGTAGGTGGTACATATGCACATAAGTATGTTTCAGAAGAATCTGTACATTTTTTATTTAAAAAACCAATATCAGATATGGAAACAATAATTTTTAAATACAAATTTACAGTGATCTGTGCTTCTCCACATTCACATGGTATGCCAACATTCTCTTCACTCAAGTGGCAATATAGGCTTTCTAGTCAAAAGCTTCCTCAATGCATTCTGGACATCCTTGTTCCTCAGACTGTATATAATAGGATTAACCATTGGTGTCCCCACTGTATAGAGCATAGAAAAGACTTTGCTTAAGTTGGGATACCAAGTTGTTGTAGGTACACCATACACCACCATCAGTGTCCCATAGAACACTGTAACCACAATGAGATGTGAGGAGCAGGTGGAAAAGGCTTTCTGTTTGCTTTTGGCAGATGGGATCTTGAGGATGGTGGAGACGATTTTAAAGTATGATATAATAGTGAGAAGGAAAGGAGAGAAGGTTACAAGGATGGAGATAAGAAAAGAGGGGAACCTCACTTTTTGTGTGTCTCCACAGGCAAGTTTGATGACAGGGGCCAAATCACAGAAAAAATGATTGATCTCATTAGAAGCACAGAAAGGCAACATAGAAACCATTATTATGGTGAGCACTGGGGTCAGAAACCCACCAATCCACGACCCTATTGCTAGCTGAATGCACACTCTGAAGCTCATTAAGTTTCCATAATGCAGTGGTTGGCATATGGCTACATAGAGATCATAGGACATTGCTGCTAGAAGAAAACACTCAGTTTTCTGCCAAAGAGCTAAAGGTGTAAAACTGGAGGAGACAAGCTGAGAAGGAAATGGCCTCATGGGCAGTCAGTAATGTTTTCAGCATCTTTGGAACCACACTGGTGGTGTACCATATTTCTAAGAAAGAGAGGTTTCCTAGGAAGAAGTACATAGCTGTATGAAGGCTGTGGTCAGTCAACACAACTGCCATGATAATTATATTCCCTGTTAATATTACTATATAGACTGCAAGGAATACCACAAACATAGGGATCCTTAGCTCATGAAGATTTCCTAGTCCCAGCAGAATGAATTCTGTGATCAGTGTATGATTAGGGCTTCCATTTCCATCTGGAAAGAGAAACACACGGAGTATGGAGGAAAGGAAGACCAACAGAACAAGAAATTAGTTCAGCATAATTTGAATTGCTATAAATCATATAGTGTCTTAGCAAATCCCTTAGATTGTACAATCACATGCACCCATGGGAAAACTCCTTGCTAGGTGCCAGACTACATCAGCCATGCACATAAATACACACATAGGAAACTCACAACTTCCACCCCATATTGGGCTACCTCCAAATGCAATGCTTTAATTATCTCTTATGAGTGTATGACACTCATTCATTTTCATGGTGACCAGAGCTGAAGGAACATCCATGGTGTGAGGCAAGTGTCTAGGGCTGTCACCTCTGAACTATGTATTGAATTCCCAATCACTAATGATGCTTTTTGGCATAATATAAACAGCCTTCTAGGTGTGTCAGAAAGGAGAATCAGGGGAATCAGACTAGATGAGCTTCAGTAGGAATTTTTTCAAGGTCTGTCATTTGGTTCACACAGAGTTTTAGCCAATTAAATTCTACAGAGTGGACTCAATGATATACAGTGGTACCTCAGGTTAAGTACTTAATTCGTTCTGGAGGTCCGTTCTTAACCTGAAACTGTTCTTAACCTGAAGCATCACTTTAGCTAATGGAGCCTCTTGCTGCTGCCGGGCCGCCGGAGCACGATTTCTGTTCTCATCCTGAAGCAAAGTTCTTAACCTGAAGCACTATTTCTGGGTTGGCGGAGTCTGTAACCTGACGTGTATGTAACCTGAAGCGTATGTAACCCGAGGTACCACTGTAGATCTAAATTTGTCATGTCTATTAATTTAAAGGAGTGTAGTTGAAGTATGACCAGCACTGGCTAAAATCTAAAGTCTCATGTGATTCCATCTTCCTCAAAACAATCTGAAAGAAATAAGTAGCTTTATGCTATTTTCTACATACAGTCTCAACTGTTCTGCCTGTTCAGCTTCGTTTTGTTCTACTGCTCTACATTCTTAAATGCAGCTGTGTCAGTGATTGCTCCTGAGAAACATATGTTGGCTCACCATGTGCCCTTTTATTTTATGCTGAGCACAACATAGTCACAAAAATCTATCATAATTTCTATGACAATCAGCTGCAAAGGCACAGATAGGATTCAATGGTAAATTTCACAAAATTTTGTCTGGCCATGTAGAGAAGGGGAAGCCAATGTGGTGTCAACCCTATGTTAGACTGGCCATACTGGCAAGGGCCAATGGAAGTTGTTTTCCAACATCTGGAGGCCACTAATTGGCTACCCCTCATCTCTTTTCCCACAATTTTTACAAGAAAGATAGGAATAAATTGTTAAAATAATTTGCGAAACATTATAATACAGTGGTACCTCAGGTTACATACGCTTCAGGTTACATACACTTCAGCTTACAGACTCCGCTAACCCAGAAATAGTACCTCGGGTTAAGAACTTCGCTTCAGGATGAGAACAGAAATCGTGCTCCGGTGGTGCGGCAGCAGCAGGAAGGCCCATTAGCTAAAGTGGTGCTTCAGTTTAAATAGGTAAAAATTTAAAGTCATAATATATTAAGATTTAGGATTGGAATTAAAAAGGAGGGAAAGAAATTGCTGGGCCTACAAACTGAATTAGAATACAAAGGAGGGAGGTATGAGGAAGTCCGGGAAACAAGTAAATGTAAAAGAGGTTATGAAAGGATGGAACTATTTTTAACTGTTTTTTCTTTTTCTTTTTTCTTTTTTTACTTTTTCTATTTTGTATTTTGTATTTTGTATGGTGTATTTTTCTCTGTTTTTGTTAAAAAAATTTCTTGTTTATTAATGTGATTTTATTCTTTCTGAAACTCTAATAAATATTAATTTAAAAAAAAATAAAGTGGTGCTTCAGGTTTAGAACAGTTTCAGGTTAAGAACGCACCTCCGGAACGAATTAAGTACATAACCAGAGGTACCACTGTACCATGCTCCCTCATTCAAAGAGGAACTGGACCCTGTGATGGAAATATGGGGAACCTGTAGTTCTGCATAGATTTCTGGACTCCAACTCACATTAACCCAGCCAGCATGGCCAGAGATCAGGGATGATCACAGTTGCAGTCCAGCAAAATCTGGATGGCTAAACTGTCATTAATTCTACTCAATATTGATCTAGAATATATTCCAATGTATAGTTAGCAGAGTAAAAATTTAAACACGTTGCAAGATTCCACCAAAAATAGACCAGATTAATTAATTAATTAATATTTCATCCAGCAGAGCTTTACTGCTACTGAAGGTAAATGAGCATAATGTTCACAAATCCAATACATTCAGAATTGGCACTGCCCATAAGAAATCCAGTTGCAGCAGACTTAACTTAAACTTGCAATAACTTACAAGTGTAAACTTTAATACTAAGCATACTATGTACAGAACACCACACCAGAATGAAAAGCGATAGAAAGAGAAAGTGAAACCCAGGCTTCTTCTGGCCTATTTTTATAGTCAGCATGAGATAACAGAATCAGTTTAAGCCAGCTGTACTCAGCTTCTCTAAAGGAATAACCCAAACATCTTGAACCTTCTGCTTGTTTCTTTCACACAGAGAAGCTTGTCCAGGACACCTGTTTTGATGTAAGAAGCGGGAAAAGTAGTTCGCTCAGGATTTTATGTGGAGGAAATGGGAGGAGTGATGTGACATCCTGGCAAACCAATTAATGAGGTGCATGCATCACCAATTAAAAGCAAATTATATTTGGCAGTGCTGTATTGACTTGATTGCAGCAACAATCTGCTGGGACTACTTTGAATCACCAGTATATATACACTTGGGAATATTTAATTATGAGTCAGCTCAAAGCCTAAGTTACTGAAAAACAAGGGAGGATATAATCAATATTTGATATTGGGGAAACCCAGCCAAATGGGTGGGGTATAAAAAATAATTTATTTATTTATTTGTTATTATTATTATTATTATTCAGGATATTTTGCCCACTTCTTGGGTTGGATCAGTAAAAAAATAAGTTAATTACTTAAACTTAAGTAATTAAGTAAACATCCAACCATCTGTAGCCACTTGGGAAGGAAAAAATGGCCCTTTGAGCTTTTCCCCTCTGTAATAAATTCTGTGTAAACATGTGGTGAAATACATTAAAAATAATACAGATACAACATGGTGAATGCCACAATGGTTTTAAACCCCTAATTATGAAATTTTAATGTATTCAATTTGTCAAAAAGATTGGTGCTTATTTTAACTTTTTATGTGGTTTGTTTCTATGAAGCAGATCCTCAGTGCAGGCTGGCATGGTTTAATATTGAAATTGCCCTATAACCCTAGTACCTTTTCTATCTTTTCCAGGACATAAGAGAACAACTGGCATCCTCTACCTACTTAACACTTAACCAGATTGCCCTGGCAAATATGAAGGTTATCAACTCCCTTAAGGAGGAACTCAACTTCAAACAATGAAGCTAATTTTGGGGTAAATTTCTGATTTGGGAGCCATAAATAAGAACATAAGAAAAGCCCGTTCTCAGAACTACAGAGATAAGAACTTCTCCCCCCCCCAACAGTAGTGTCTTTCCCTTTTCAGCTCAATCTTATCTCAGGAAAGCATGACAGAGTAAGGTGTATGGAACAATTTTGCACCTTCATTTATTATGCAGGAATAAGTGAGGCCCCCCAAAGATATTTAAATTATAGTTTCTTACAATGGCAAATTAGCAACACGCATTTGCTCCAACTCTTTCCTCAGCACTCTCAGTTTCTGTAGATTTATAATGCTAGATACATCCACTCCTTCTGCATATCTCTAAGAGAATTAAGATTTCTTTAGAATAGAATATTTGAATGTAACAATGACTGGGCTCTGCCTACATACAATTAATTTGTAACTGGCTAGACAGGTTGTGCATTTAGTTCTGTTTTTCTTTTCCTTGTAATAAATCAAAATTGCTGCTTGTGTGGAAGTATATGAATGTGGAGAACTCCATACTTCGGATTCCCATCTTCAGGTATCCCTACTGAATGAATGGTAATCAAGGTGACAGGAAGACCCAGTCAGCTGCCCATTCTGCCTCAGTACTGGCCAGTGGGGTGTATCCTCAGCCTGCTCAGACTTAGGGAGACAGCATATCTGCTGCTTCTGCATCAATCATGCACTTGTGGGTGAGGTGGTGGTGGGTCGTCCTTTTAAGGGTTGGGGGGGATGCCTCCGTCCCGCTTCTTTTCCCAGCAGCACCACCCTCCCCCCATCTCTCAATGTGGCTTATTCGTCGCTTCAGGGCCATGTAGGAATCTTTGGCAGATCCACCTCTGGGTGGGCTGGTTTTTTCACCTACTGCATATTGAATAGCTGGGTCTGTTAGGATTTTTATCTCACGAGCTGCTCAGCGAGCAGCACAATGGTTGTTTATATCATGTGAGTGTCTGGGAGTGTGAGACAGGAAGTCTCAGCACAGTCTCAGTACTGTGAAAAAAAGTTACTTTCACTTCTGAGTGAAGTGTTCTCTTCCGTACTGATGCTCAGAGAGAGCAGACACGCTGATGGGTCATGGGCATTAGATGGTCTGATGTACTGTAAATTAAGTTAACCTGGTATTTTATTCATTCGTTTTTGGCAGGAAGGGGAGTCGTTGTGTTTCAGCCTGTTCACCCCCTTAAGGCAGGTGCCACAGAAAGAATGTAGTTGGTCAAGGGAGCCTTGGATTCAAAAAGGTTGAAAACTTCTCCCCTAGTGGTTGCAATTTATTCCTGCACCAATAGTGTTTTCCCTCTGCAAGGATTTTTAATAGTGCACCAGGGAATTATATGCAATTCACACAAACTGGATGTTCAAGATGTATTAAAGAATGGGTGTGAATTATACCTTAAGTGACAGATTGCTTAGAATTGGTCCCAGATGCTCGGTCTGTCCTTCAAATCCCTTGGTGTATTCCTAGACTCCCTATGTTGAAGGGCCTGTGGGAACACAGCACAGCTTAAGTTATCTAAGGGATTTCTTTTTCCTCCATAGGTGCTTAAGACTTGATAGGGCTATATTTTCAAAGCTGAGGTGAAATCTTAAAGGAGACGTGGCTTTTAATAAGATAAATACTTCTTATTCAACTAAATTAGAGTTACAAACAGCTGTGCAGGACAACATCCTTACCTGAATTTTTAACTGGGTGAGTAGAAAGAATAAGACAGTCAATTAGTTGTTGAAAATAGTAACAGTGGAAGAATAGTATATATTATAAGTTGATTGATACAAAGAGAGCAGTAAATAGTTGGTAAGTGGCTCTATTTTCCAGTGTGTTTCGGAATATAAACTTTGAGAGAATTCAACTTTTTGTATTCTCCTGAAGCAGTTCCAGCTTCCTGATAAGGCAATGGGCCATGAAAGGGAACAAAGGATGTGGATCTGTACAAGACAGAAGATGGGGAACCTTCTCCATTTAGAAAGTATTTGATTAGAAGTGGTGTGAGCTAGAAGTGATTTGAATGTGAATGTGAATGGCATAAACCCCTCCATTGTAATCTCAAGTAGTGTGTGTGTGTGTGTGTGTGTGAGAGAGAGAGAGAGAGAGAGAGAGAGACTACTGCATTAAAAATAAATTAGTGAAATTGAACATATCATTTTGTGATGGATAAGTAAAGAGTACGTTATGAAAGTCAGTTTGTATATACTGCATAAGCGTTCAACTTCATCATATTATGGCAGGAACACATTTTCCCCTCCCTCCAATACTACTTTACAGTAATTTAAACAACGGGAAATTTTTTATTCTAGAATATCATTCACATGCTTTCTTTATATTTCAAGATCTTTTAAGATTTTGTTTTTAAGTTCCTGTGGCATGGTTGGTGGTTTTATTGTGCACATTTTGGTTCTGTGCTGAGTGTGGTGTTTTGTTTGTGTGTTTGGAGGAGCAGTGATCTCACTTTCATGATACTTTGTGTTTTAAAGCTTATAGGCTTTATTTATTGTTCTATACTAAGTTTTATAGTTTTACTTTGTGGACAACATCATATATGTGATGATGTACCTCATAAAGAGAATTAAAAATGATATTCTTTCCTTCTTTTTAGAGGCATATGCATAATGTTGAAATCATTGTTGACAGAGGCTTTTTAAAAATCGAATTCTAATCTAACTTTATTTAACCTGTCAATTGGAAGGAGAAGGCATGTAACCTGAGGTACTCCATGTAGCTCAGGTGGGTTCAGTGGTTTGGCATTACTATGGGCAGGTGCAGCTAGTTTGCTGGCTACCACCATTCCCAGATTGGAATAATCTAGGATCAATCCCTGCCGTAGTAACCTCCCAAGTAGAGTATTGTGACTCACTCCATATGGGACTGCCCTTGAAGATAGTCCAGAAGATGCAACTGGTGGAGCAAGCAGCCACTAGTGTCCTAAGCAATATGAGACCTGAACACCTCAAGAGTACCTTCCCCCTGTATCAATCTTCCAGTGACTAAGGTCCAATGGGAAGGCTATCCTTGTTGTCCCACCAATGGTTTAGGTTCACAATATACAGTAGTAACATGGAACAAAACCTTATCTATAGTGATAACCCACTTAGGGAACACACACACTATTGGGCTGTTTGATGATACCGACAGAAAAAGGTAGATAAAGTGTGGTTTAAACAGAAGTCAAAAGCAAGTAATAAATAAATCAGTGAGGGTACTGGGTGAGCCTCCATTGGAAAGTATTTTGTTAGCAGATAGCCACAATGAAGAAGGATCTTTTCACCTTACAAGATAGTGAGAGTCAGTGATATTGTTCTAGAAAAAGAGGTGCTGGAATTCACTATGAATGCCTCCCTCATTCTCTTCAAATGGCGATGATGATCTTAATACTATTATGTATATAGTACATTAACTGATTTACCCCATGAAATAATAATATATTCATATATATATCCGGAACTCAGCTCCCGGATGCTCTTCTGGTACAATCTGTCCCTACATACATATCTCCCAAGGGAAGAACAGAAAGTGGCCCTCCAGCGTTCTATTTGCAAATAGAGTTGATGTTGTTTCTCTCAAATACATGAGTGATTGTAAAGAAAAATACTACTTTTGGAATTTATTTGTTTGCTTGTTTATATTCCTCATTGTGAAGTAGTTGCCTTTGGTGATATATTTCTTTGTGACTTTGCATTTTGCTATTATATCACTACCCTGTGTTTCGTTTGTTGAGGAACTTGGTTCGGGCAAGTTCCAGCTTTAAAAAAGCCCCAGTCAGAGTATTTGGGGGGGGGCGAGTCCTGACAGATAACAGGTTGATGGGAAAGGTGCAGGGGCAGGTTCATGTTGGATATATATATATATCCAATATTGTATCATTTCCTGGTGGATAATGAATCTGTTAATTTGGCTATTTGTTCGAGCAGTTAAAAGAAGATTGATGGGAAATACAAATGAAGGATCGCAAAATGGAACAAAAGTAATGGAATTCATCCTTCTTGGCTTCCCAGGATCTCAGTATTTACAGATGTCCATCTTCATGCTCTTTCTTATCATGTATGTGATGTCACTGCTGGGAAATGTGGCCATCATCATTCTGGTAATAGCAAATCGTCGTCTCCATACTCCCATGTATTTCTTCCTATGTAATCTCTCCTTCCTAGAAATATGGTACACAACAGCTTATATCCCTAAGACTCTTGCCATCTTTCTGGGGAGGAGCAGAAGCATCTCTTTCACTGGCTGCATCCTTCAGATGTACTTTGTGTTTTCCTTTGGATGCACAGAATACTTCCTGCTGTCTGTCATGGCTTATGACCGATATTTGGCCATATGTGATCCCCTGCACTATAGCACCATCATGGACAACGAGCTCTCCAGGAAGCTGGCAGCTGGCTCCTGGCTATGTGGTTTCCTCATTATTTTTATACTGGCCTTTCTAATCACAAGATTGTCTTTCTGTGGCCCCAGTGTGATCAATCACTTTTACTGCAACATTGATTCCTGGATAGTTCTTTCCTGTAGCAATACCTATGACATTGAGATGGCAGTTTTTGTAATATCCATCATTGTCATATTGGGCTCCTGTCTGATCACCTTTCTTTCCTACATATGCATTATCACCACTATCCTACACATCCCTTCTGTACAAGGTCAACAAAAAGCCTTCTCTACATGCTCGTCCCATCTTGCTGTAGTGCTCATTTGGTATGGCTCCACCATCTTTCTCTATGTCAAACCTTCTAAACGGACATCCCTAGAAATGACAAAAATTGTCAACATCTTGAACACAATTGTTACTCCATTGCTGAATCCATTCATCTACACACTACGAAATAAAGAAGTGAAGGATGCAATCAGAAGTTCATTGCATTAGGCTTACGGTCCCAATTGCATTAATGGAGGCATCCCCCACAACAGCTGGTGATCGTCAGTGAATGAAAAACAAGGATGACAGAGGGTAAATCATCCTTGCAAACTCCCACAGGGACAGGGGAAATGGGCTTCACTCACAGTTCATCTTGGTACCTGGCCTTTGAATGGAATATGGGAGGCAGGGAGGCGCTGAGTGCAAAAGCACTTCACCTGGCGAAATCCCTCCTGTGACGCCATTAAGAAGCAGAGGTTCTCCATTTAATGGGATACAGTGGTGCCTTGAGTTAAGTACTTAATTCGTTCCAGAGTCCATTCTTAACTTGACTTAACTTAAGTGTTCTTAACGTGAAGCACCACTTTAGCTAATGGGGTCTCCTGCTGCCGCTGTGCCACCGGAGCACGATTTCTGTTCTCATCTTGAAGCAAAGTTCTTAACCCAAGGTACTATTTCTGGGTTAGCTGAGTCTGTAACTTGAAGCGTATGTAACCTGAAGCATATGTAACCCGAGGTACCACTGTATTTAATTGGCTTTAAAGTACAGGCACGTGATGCAAAAGGTTTGCAAAAACATACTGGCAAATATACCAGCTACATGGATTTAATTGAGATAAGATTTTCTTCGGCATGAGAGTCAGATGGGGAGAGGGAAGCCACAGTTTGTTTATTCTAAGTTTCTTTTAAATATTCACCATTCGGCAACCTGGAAAATTAAAAAAAAATAATATTTATAAGTGAGGAAGGGACATTGGAGTAATGTTGATATTAACAAGCAAAAATAGAAACTGTGTGTGATTTGAAATGAAGAAAGGAGGGGAGGGGTAGCTTAAGTATGACTATTGGAAACACAGAGTAATCCTCCTCACCTCTGCTTAAAAACAACAGACAAGGAAAAAGAGACTGAGATTTATGTGTGCTACTGATGGAATGTAATCTAAGATAAAGTTTAATTGGGCCATAAATCTCTTGTGGAAGGAAAAGAATTTGGAGGCTGTGAAAAGAATGCTGCAGAGATTCTTGGAGTTGGAAAGGAGTATTAAATCTTCAGCTTGTTCAAAAATTAATGGAGGCATCCCCCACAGCAGCTTGTGATCGTCGGTGAACGAAAAACAAGGATGACAGAGGGTAAATCATCCTTGCAAACTCCCCAGAGGGACAGGGGAAATGGGCTTCACTCACAGCTCATCTTGGTACCTGGCTTTTGCTTGGAATATGGGAGGCATGGAGTCACCGAGTGCAAAAGCACTTCACCTGGCGAAACCCCTCCTATGACTCCATTAAGAAGCAGAGGTTCTCCATTTAATTGGATCTTTAATTGGCTTTAAAGTACAGGCGCGTGATGCAAAGGGTTGCAAAAACATACGCTCAAATATACCAGCTACATGGATCAAAGGTTTGAATTGAGATAAGATTTTCTTCGGCATAAGAGTCAAATGGGGAGAAGGAAGCCACAGTTTGTTTATTCTAAGTTTCTTTTATATATTCATGATTCAGCAATCTGGAATATAAGATAAAAATATATTTACAAGTGAGGAAGGGACATTGGAGTAATGTTGATATTAACAAGCAAAAATAGAAATTGTGTGTGATTTGAAATGAAGAAAGGAAGGGAGGGGTAGCTCAAGTATGACTGTTGGAAAGACAGAGTAATCCTACTCACCTCTGCTTAAAAGCAACAGACAAGGAAAAAGAGACTGAGATTTATGT